TATATGGGCCTATATATATATAGGATTAATACGTGATTTATAAATTTCCCACACTTCACCAAGTTCTGACGACCGAAAAATATACTCATTTTTCTACTTAACATTTGTGCAAGATGTAATTGCCAAGTACCACTGAAATATTATGAAAATTTATACAATATATAGAAAAAATTGCTAAAAAGTTTGAAATTAAAATTAGAGTATTAGCTGATACCAGCTTCAAACTGCTATTAATTATACATTTTGCATGACTAACACTAATTCTTTCAAGTAAGAAGTATCTGTAGACCGGAAAAAGATGTTGTCAAAATGCAATGATCAGAAATTTACATGTTAAAAATAGAAATATGTGTGCTTCAAACAAATTATATGAATTGTTATTCGTGTTACAAAAGAAGAATAAGTTTTCCGAGCAAATCTCGAACTGCGAAGTATACTTGAATCAAGTACGGTTAGAGATTTCAGGACAAAATCTGCTGTAACTTTAAGATTTAGAACCAGCTCAAAAAAGAGAACTTGAAAAATTGTCAAAACACAAAAAAAGGACTAATTTCAGAGTAGAATTAATTCTACAAATAAATTGGTAAATTTATTTCGCTAAATTCGATTTTTTGAATTTTCGATATAAAATTTCTTTCAGTAGGAAAAATTTTAGCAATAGATAAGATACCATTTGAACGCCAGCCAAATCCTCAGGGATTTCTTGCTCGGGACCTCGCCGCGTACAACCATCAGCGTCGCATGTGTCACCTCCAGGTAGAAGGTCACCACTTAGCACCGCGTCTGCACCAATTAGCTTATTACTACGAACTGTACAATTACAATTTTCTGCCCATTTTTCGCTATTCACAGCTGCTAGTATATTACTCTGGAACAAATTTTCCACTAAAAATTAAAATTAATACTCAGTTTTCGAGTTAATTTTGAACTGCAATCTTCGCGCAGTGAACACATATTTTAGAAAACTAAAAAATGATTTAAGATCGAAAGACCACATTGTTCGACAGTTTGATCGCATACACATGTGAAGTTAAATTCATATGCAGAAAGAGAATTTAAGGTTTTTGCTTTTAATTTGCTATGAATTATATGGGAGTACAAAGTTAAACAGTACAACATGCAATAAATAAATTACTTGTATAATAATGTCAAGATTATATATTTTAATATCACACCAAATATCTTGAAACAAGTCTATCTCTAAATTTCCCCATAAAATAATCTATAGCACAAATCATATTACTTAGTGTGCATAAATATTTTATATACGCTAGTATCTTTTGCGAATGCGAATAAGAGTACAATATTGCTAAAGATACATCTGCTGATCTCTGTAAGCGTTTTTACGTTTCACACTCTACATAATCTTAGTATTAAAGTAATGCGACCAGAAGAAATATTTTTTGGTTAAATAATAAATTCACAAAAGATCTGGTTAACAAAAGTGTTTTATTAATACGCACTTAACCTTCTTATTTATTTAAAACTATAAAAACTTTTTTACCTAACTACATTTTGTAAACTTGTCTTTATTTTTTAAAAGGTTACAAAAATATACGTGAAAATCTCGTGTACAAAAAGCAAAGATAAAAATTAAGTTTTGCACGAGATTATTAATGTAATTAAAGAAAATTTTCTCCAAATAAATTACTTTTAATTTGCGCCTTGCGTTATATCTTCGAATCTGTTCTACTGTACTTTGCAAATGTTTACGTGGAGTAGAAGGGCAACGTTCACGTAGCCATTCATGACTTAAGGCACCTTCTGCAGATATTCTACTGCTTGGATTGACAGTGAGCAGTCTAATCAGTAAATCTTTTGCTGAATCACTAATCTCTTGCCATGTCCCACCATGATGCTGAAAAAATAAAAATTGAACTGCAACATAAATACCAATTCTTAATGTGAATCTCGATACCTTTTCGTAAGAAATAATTTAAATAAAAAGCAAATTTGAGCTCGAATAATCTTTCGGTTAATAATAAACATAAAATGATTTTTTCAAATCTATATCAGTCACATTAAATAACAAAATATGTTTCAACAAATTTTTGATAGTTAAAAAAGCATACAGAATATTTTCCTTCGGTGATATTTTCATATACTTCCTGTCGAGTTCCTACAAAAGGTAAACGTCCACAAAGAAGTATATACAATAGCACACCTGCACTCCACATGTCAGCTTTTGTGCCGTATTCTAAATCATTGACTACTTCGGGTGCCATAAAATGTGAAACTCCTACGCGACCTGAAAGTTTACAAAAACAATTTATATCCAAACCAAAAAATTATTAAAAACTAAGAGGTCCAAAAAGTGATAAAAGATAACCGCACCAGCTGGAATAATGGCATTTGGTGTTGGTAATTTGAGTGAAACACCGAAACCAGTCAATTTGAGAGGCGCCGAATTGTCTTTACTGTAAATTAAATCTTTGCATTTCAAATTTGCAAAAAATTCTTAATGCTGCTCGCAGACTTCGAAAAAATTAAATAAATAGTATTTTTATTATCAATAATTATGTATCAGAATTATACATTAAATATTGAAAATTAAAAACTGCTGGTAAGCAATACCGCTAACATTCTAGAAATGATAATATATAAGGTTGGGTAAAATAACAGTTTTTGAAAACAAGAACGAAGATATTGCCTTGCCTTGCAAGCACAACATTATGTGGACGAATATCGCGGTGTATAATTCCTTGGCCATGCATGTATTTAAGAGCTTCCATTAACTGGCGCATATAATGGCTAAAGCATTCACTTTCAATATCAAAAATTGTTTTTTTTAATTTAGCGACGATAATATTTATTATATTCAAAATTAGAAATTAGTTATATTTGTTTGCATTTCAAATTTGCAAAAAATATTTTCAATGCTGCTCACAAATTTTGAAAAAAATGAAATAAACAGTATTTTTATTATTGATATTTATCTATCAAATATATATATTACATATTGGAAATTAAAAACAGCAGCAAGCAATACCGCTAACAGTAATATCTTATAAATATTTTAATTGAACGTTCACATACTCTGTATTTGTAACGAACGTAAGCAAAAAGAATAATCATTGAATGGAATTTAAAAATAAAAGGAAGTAATTAATAAAATAGAAAAAACAGCCACCAAAAAGATTTTTGAACTCATTTTTACAAAAAATACATAACTGAAATATAATTTTTATGAAATATAAATGCAACTGAAGTGATGTTTTTGTAGACTTTATTTTGGTATTACTCATAACTGCTATTTTTTAAACCTAAAAAATGGAAAATAATATATCAAATTGGATCATATCTTTTTGATAGGTTTCGAACTGTTTTACCTTGCGACCGCTTCACTATAAACGAAACCAGCGCTAGTTCGTTTTACGATTTCGAAGCAAATATCATCGCCATCAAGAAATTCAAATACCATATGAACTGCTTTTTCACCCACTATTACATCTTTCAATTCACACAAAAATGGATGCTTCAACATGGCACAAATTTCGATTTCCTTATCGACATCTGCAAATTTCTCCAAATTCACAGAACATATTAAATAATATTTTGAATTAATTTTGTCACAATAAATTGAAAAAGTTGCAATCGAAAAACGTTAAAATATTCAAAAAGCAAACCTGTTCTCGTTAATCCTGAATTCACGGAGTATTTTTGCATATCGATGCTTTTCACAGAATATAACTTTGAAGTTATACGATGTACTGCACGGTAAACCGTACTTAGCGGACCTCTAAAAATTAAAAAGAAGTGGAATTAAAAATATTCAAACATTAATTACATTGTGAAGAATATATGGATATAATATAATGCATTGAACGATATTTTGCTAATAACACTAGTTGGCTAACAATAAATATTATTGTTATTATTATTGCTGTTAATATTATCGTATTTTATTATTATTATTATTATTATTATTATCATTATTGATTATTATTGTTATTATTATTATTATTATTATTAGCACAACAACATAAAAAATTTAGATAGTTAAGTTGCTTTCAACTACTCATTCTCTTACAGAAAAAACCTGAATGCTTAAAAGTTAAAAGAATTAAAGCTCTGATGAATTCAAACTGATCATTTCGTTCAATTCAAATTTCGAATCGATTGAACCACTGAATCTTTGGAAATTATTAACTGATGAAATACTTTTATTCAACTGAATATATTTCAAATAACTAACATTAATGACACTTTGTGTCTCCTTCTCACTACTTTCAAAATTGTAGCCGAAAAATCTGCTTAATTTAAAAAATGACATCATTACAGGATGAAAAAAAATTTGAATAACCGTTCGATGATATCTCCTAACTGATAATGATGATTGAGCAGAGTTGTTTCTTCGCTCAAAGTCCATGGCTGCCCCGTAAACATCACTTAAAACTGCCATTCAGCGATTCCTATCGTTAAAGAAATGAAAATTTTCCTCGCGATCCCACGAACTTATAAAAGTCAAAATGGATCAAATAGTAATCTCTGAAGGACTTATTTTCATGTCACTTTTCTTTTTCTTCCACGTGAAGTTCTAGAATTCTATTTTCAGTATAAAATCACAATATGGCCACTACATTTATTGGACTTCAAATATGACGTTAATCGTACACGTTGAACTTACAAGACTACAAATACATTAACAAAGAACCTGTAATTAAACCATTACTATTAATAAATATGAAAATAAAAGGATTTTTAACTTGGTTCAACTATAATAATGCAAAAAATCATTTGTCACATAAAATGTGAATAATAGAGTTATCAGTAACTCTCAAATATGAAGTAGTTTAAAAGAAAAAAATTAATGGAAATATTCTTGTAAATATTTTTGAATTTTTGATTTTAAAGAAATGAAAAAATGACTTTACGGGAAGCTTATTCATATAATTATTACTTTAAAATTTAAGGCAACCTTCGATAAAGTTTCTAATGACAAATAATATTTCGTAAAATTAATATAATTCTGAAGCAGCTGTGAATTCAGAAGACTCTCTTCACACAAATTTGACGAGTGGGCATCATTTGGTCATTTGACTAGTGGCCATTTCTATTAATAAAAGCTACTTCACTCTTTTCTTGCAATTAACCAAATTAGTTACTAAGAGATGACAATTTCATATATATATATGCAAATGCTGTAAATAATTGGCACTTCTTGTAACCTTTCATGTTACATTCTATCTTAATATACAGATGTCATCTACTTTAAGACAATAAACTTTGAAGGCTTACTTGTCAATTACCTTCAATATTTGAGTAATTTATTAAAAAACAAATTGTAAATAAGTAAAGCATGTGCTATTAAAAATAAGCATCATCAGTCGTAATATAACTTAATAATAGCGATTAATTTTATGCTTATTAGATCTCGGAAGATAATACATAAATCACTTCCTATCAAATAAAATGACATTATTACACAATTTCAAAGCAAAAAAGAAAGCTTTTTGAAGGTAGTGACAACAAATAATCTATAAACATATATTTAAGACAAAACTAAATATTTATTTTTTGGATGTAAACTTTTGATTTCAAAGTTAAAATCTAAACTATTTTATACGTGTACATTCCGATACTGGAAAATTGCCTATTGGAAATTTTGAATAGGTGAACTGTAAATAATAATCTTTGTACTAAACTCTTTTCCCAAAATTTCTGAAATTTATTGATAAGTAACTCATAAACAAACTTCATTCCACTAAGCAATTACATCTGAAGCGATAATTTCATTAACTAAGAGTTTTTTCATCCCGAAAAAGTTATTTTTGCATCCATCTCAGAGAATTTTGTCTTGACAAACTTCCATCAATTGCGCTCATAACCAATTGGCAATTCAAAGCAAATTTAGTAAATGATTAGCCCAAAACATGACCAATCAATTTAAAAAAAGTTCTTTAAATCCTTCATATTAAAGGATAATCCAGGAATCATTTTCAATCAGATAATTTTGCTTGATATTTTTTTATTGAGAAAGAAACTTTGATGTGATAAAAGGATTGACTGATTAGTCAGTCAATCACTGAAATAAAAAAAGGAACGCAGTGTTAAAAATATATTTGTTAAGATAAAAAGCAGTAATCAGAAAAATAATCAATGCATACTTAAAAAAATAATAAAATTTATCATTTCCGGCTATAACTCATTTTATTTATAACCTTTCTGACTAATTTTAAAGTAAGGACTTGAATACTTATTAAATGAACAGACTACTGTCACAACTTATTATACTTTCTATTTTTAAGAACGGAAGAAGCCAAAAGGGATCAAATATCCAAAATGATGACCCATTATCAATCGTTCTCTAGAAATTAGACAAACACTGCAAGCAGACTTAAATTCAAAATTGTTGAAAGCAATAGATAGTTTCGGCTGCTCTGGATAATCTAAGACTTTAGATTTCTATGGATAATATAACATCCGATCTTCCATGTTTAAGAAATGATAACTATGCACGTACTTAACCGAAAAGTTCCCACGAAAATTCCTTATAATTACTTCCTTACTTTTTCCAACATACTAAACAAATGTTAAATAATGGCTACTTTAGTTTCTTTCTTTGCTCTCTGCTGTTAAAAGGTTCAGTCTAATTCAAATAACTTGCAACTTAATCGATACTATTTTGATACAAAATACTCTAAAATTAGCATAGTGGAAATTAAAAAATTGAAAATGATAGACGTGAAATGAATCTGTCGTTTCCATATAATTCTTTATAATCCTTTTCTTCCTTTAAAAATGGTTTTGCTCGTCAGCTTAATTCTCAAACAAATTTGAAAATAAATGATAGAAAAGAACAAAAAATATTCAAATATAAAATAACTATACAAAACAAAATTAACAAATTTATTCTATCACATTTTTTAGTGATGCAATTTATTTTTGATTATTTTAAAAATTTGGAAAAGTTATTATTCGTTCATTTCATTTAATATCCAATGCTATTCTTTTTTAAATAAATGACCATAAAAAGTGGACACAAATTTAACCAAGCGTAATTCCTCAAATCGATCTATAAATTCCAATCGTAAGTAATTGATTGCTTCATTCATTATCAAAAAACTTACTTTCAGAATTTTTGTGCTTCAATTAACAATGAAATGACTAGTATGCATTTTTAATTCTATAAGCAAGTTTCAAAAAAAAATTAATTACGCTACTAATTTGCATTAATTTAATTCATCAAAATTATGCAACGAATTAATACAATATACAAATGCAAATATAACCGCTAAAGTGGTTATTGGAATAAAAACTTTTAAAATATTTGGGCAAATTCAAAAATAAAAATAAAAAATAATAATTTTGCTGAATTCAAATAATCAAGTTATCACAAAATTTAACAAAACGAATATATAAAAATTTGAAAGTAGTAAAGTAAATGTATTTTATCAAAATAGCCATATTGCAAAAGTCTAATGCAATTTAATTTAATTTGTTTATTTTATTACACTGAAATTTAATTCGATTCATTTCAATTCAGTTCCTTTCAGTTCAACTCAGCTGCATTCATTCAATTCAGGTTTATGCTTGATTAAAAATTTTTGCCGCATTATGAGATTATACTCAGTGGAAAACGAGCAGATGTCAAAGATCATTCAACCATTCAAAAATTGTACACTAAAACTTTGCTGAACTTTCAAAAGCAAATTTGTTTCCTTAAACTGCTTACCATTTTAACAATTACTTTCGGTATTTATATCAGTCACATACTTTTTATATTTTAAAACTTTCAGCAAAATTCTTTTTCGAAAAATTTTGAATAACTCCGTAATATTTTTTTTCATTTCCGTTGCTAATAATAATTCAGTAACTGTATCCTATTTAAGTGAGGGTTGAACTATTTAAATTTGATATTTCATCAAGGAAGTAAGCATTTTTTAGATAAAGAAAAATAATTGACTTCATATGCGATCGAACTTTTAGGCATCAAATTGCATGAAATTCAAAACATCTGGCTGAAGTAAAGGCAGCTGGCTTTTTCATCTTAGCATCTTATGAAATTGCCATTTTGATTGTTTAAAGTAATAATGAAAAGAGAAACTTAAAAATAATGCAACCCAAAAACTTTTGAATAAATTACATAAATAGCTAAATAAATCATGTCGGTAAATCGTTTTCGAATAATTCATTTAAAAAAATTCAAAAAAAAAAGAAAAATTATCGGAAAAAGGTGATTTAACTTTTTGGTAAAAAATGTTTTAAGACATGGAAATACTGATGCAGTTTTTGAAGTGAAAAATTTGTGCTTAAATTCAATAAATTTAGCGTTCAGAAAAACAGTAAGTAACGTTTACACATTAGCAGGTTCTGCTTATGCATGAATTTTACTATTTACTCACATTTTTAAATGAAAAATTTGAAGTACGAAAGAAGAACAGGAGAAGAACAATCATTTCTGATATTCAAAAACTTGTTATTCATACCAAAAAGGATTTAAAAAGCTAACTACTAAGTGACTTAAATTGCAACTTTTATCAGCGTATTCTAATTTTTGCTTCATTAATTTAAAAAAAATGGTACATTTAATGTTATTTTACACAGGAAACTAATAAAATGTAAAATACTTACACAAAGGCTGTTACTAGAGTGGCAAAAAATATAGTTAACAATTATTAAAAATTTTTAGCTAGAAAAAATCTGAAAATTTTGCAAAAATTTTTTAGTTTTTCGTTTATTAAAAATATCTCAGCAAAAAAATATGTCGGCAGCATGATATTAACTAAAACCATGAAAGAGTTTTGAGAGAAATATTCGAAAACTTAAGTGAAAAAGAAGAAATTATTTGCATATTTCACATTATGCTATTTCCCATCACTTAAAAAAATTTGTTTATCCAAACAAAAATTAAAATGAACAAGTCAAAATGGTAGTTTAAACGATAGTTTATTTGTTAAATTCAGAAAAAAAATCTTTTTTGATATATTTTTAGTTTTATTTTATTGCATCAGACTTTTTCAAAGATAGAAAAATTAAGTTTAATCTATAAACATCATTTATGTAATGAAAAAGTTAAATTTTTATCGAAAAATTAAAAAAATGAGTAGGTGTTTGGAAAGTTTTTATTATATGCAAGCTTGAATATCAATATCTGAATATTACAAATATATTTCTAAGATATCATCAAGTATGAGATTTGTATTTTTTGTTTTTACAATAATGATGTGGAATAAGAAGGACATTTGTAACAAAATGTTAGGAGTAAGAATTTTGTAAGAATAACATTAATAATTTTGGTAAAAATAAAAAATGAGATTTGTTTCTGAGCTAAATGAAAGCGTCAAAAACAGTAACAGCAAAATGAAACGAGTGGATGGGTTGGATTTGAATTTGGCATTCTGTAAATTCATCAATACGTGAAAAAGAAGGAGCAAATAAGCTTA